GAAAAAGATAGGGACTGATTTCAAAATTTTCTAAAAACGCATAATGGGATTTTTATATTTGGATTTACTACATGAAAAAAAAAAAAAAAAACATTTTTTTTTTTTTTTTTTTTATCCCTAAAAAATTTAAAATCAAAGAGTTAGTAGTTATCATCAGCGTTTGTGAGTAGAGAGAGCTGTTCACTTATAATATGAGGTCATGGAGGATGGGCCCCATGTGGGCCAAGGGAAAGGCACCCAAAAAGCCCATTAGAGAAGAGAGTGGAGGCCCCTATGTGCCCACAAACAGCAATTCACAGTGGTATAGAAAGTTAAGAGTACTAACAAAAAAACCACGTTCCCTTCTCTCACGTCCACTTCTTTAGTTTTTATTTATTTATTTATTATTTATTATTTAAATTATTTTTTGCCTTTTCTCTCCCTCTTTATTTACTCATGTCCATTTCTGTGATGTTAGACCCATATGGATAAAAAGGATAAGCCTTTGCCATATTTCACTTTAAAGTACGTTTGGTAACATTCTGTGCGTCACCTTCCAAACAACCCATGAAGAACAAAAGACACAATCCTCCTATTACAATTATGAGGGTGTAAAAGTAGCTTTAAGCCAATAATATTGAATTATTCAACTTGACCCAAAACTGCTGAAATTAAAAAGCTGTGAATATTTATATCCACATTCTCCAATAGTGGAATAAAATTTTGGTTCTCATCTATATTTTTATCACGTTCACTTTTGAGCAGTCGAACTCGAAAGTAAGTTTTTATAATTTATGTTTCTTGAATTTTATGTTGTGTTTGATAGGAAAGAAAGTAAATAAGAAGGAAGAAAGGATATATAACACCTAGGCGGAAAAAATTGAGAGGAAAATCGAGGGAATATAAGGCTTCATTCACTTTGCAGATTTGAGTTGAGATGTGACATTTTCTGAGAGTTTTAAACTGTAAAAATTTAGAACTGAAAATTTAAATTAGTGAAATAAACGAGACGTAAGAGTCGTTCCACTTTTCCCTCCTACGAAACAAGACCCTGATGTAATTGTAAATTCAACTAAAGATATCCCTTATAGTGGAATAAAACTTTGGTTCTCAAAAAAACTTTCATCAAATTTACTTTAGAGCTGTCAGATGCTTTAGGTTTTTCAGGTTCCCATGAATTCTGATGTAATTGTAGAATTGTTCTACATATATTTTGGAAAAAAGAAAAATCAACAAGTCGTTTGAATTCTGAACCTGAAAACCAACCAATGGTTTGGTTTTAAGAAGTACATGAAGTTCTGCTCACGCGAGGACAAAGAGTTGAAAAGGCATTTTTCAACTGAAAAAAAAAGAAAAAAAAAAGAGAAGAGGCCACCTTGCTAAGGGCTTTGCAGTTATCAGCCCATCAACATCAGCATCACCACAGCAGTGGCTGGCCTGGTCCCAAAAACAATTTGAGTCAATGACGTTAACCACACGGTGCCAAACTTGGCCACAGAATGATAGATAACAACACTCACAGGCCTCCCTTGTAAACCGAAGGGCCGGATATTTTTAACAAAGGAAAACAAACCAATAAAACAAAAAACAAAAAAAAAACCCGAATTATAGAGCGCGTTTAAAACTCGTTCTAAAATAATTTTGTTTTTTTGTATGAAAATAAAAATAAAAATGAAAACGTTTTCAATTTCAAACATAAATTATTTTTGAAAATGCGTTTGGTAGTTTTGTCAAGAGATTATTTTCAGTATAAAAAAACCCATTAATGTCTCTCTTTCTGCTCGAGGGAGGAGAAAGCGAAAATAAAAAATGAAAAACGACTAAAATTTGTTTTTCATTTCACTCTCATTTTACACTAAATCAAAAAATCGTTTTCATTTCCGTTTTTATCTTTATTGCGCCAAACGCTGTTTTGAAAACATTTTCATTTTTTATTTTTTGAAAAACGGAATCAATTCCAAACACGACCGTAACATCTCTCGTTCAATAAGGCAATGATTGTTTTTAGGCTAGTAGCCTAGTACTAGTCAAGTAATAACCACAATTTGTACACTAAACATTAGGGTTGCTCATCAATCGGTTTTGCGAGTCTATGAACTCGGTTCTGACTTGTCGTAGAATTTACGATGCCAATTGACTACAGGTTGATTTTAGTCTGTCTGATTCGATCAGTTTGTGGTCGTCTTAAGTGCTATTAAAGGAGAGAGAGCGAAAAACCGAAAAGATTTCTTAAAAGTCAAGAAATGACAGGACGCATGCTGCACGTCAATTTGTATCAGGCTTGCAAAACAACATGCATTTCAAATATATATGCATCACTTGGTAGAGTTTCAGTATGTCCCTCGTTCCGAGAAAGCTGTTGGATGGTTTGGTTTTTAGATATTTAACATTTAATGTAACTACGTCTGTGAAATTTCATAAATCCATAGCCAATTCAAATGTTCATGGTCTAAACCGCTCAAAAATCACAAATTCGGGGAGTATTTTGTTAAAATTAGAAGTTTAGGGACTACATAATGAAATGAACATAATTTAATGACTAACAGTGCTATTGACCCAAATATAATTTTTGTTTTCTACTTTTACATAAGAAATTTAACATCTGACTTAGAATCCATATTTTGCAGAATTAAGCCACAGAATGCTTCCATTATTTTTGAATTTGTGGGGGAAGAGAAAAATCTGAAGTCGGGGTCGGTGTGAATTTATCGCTAAACTATATATACATTGTAACCACTTCTTTATTGTGTTGTTTAGGCTCATCTTTTTTAGATATCCAAGTACAAATGATTAATTCAAAAGCACAAATCAAAAGACTCACAGCTGTTGTAGATTTTATTAGTCACTGGCGTATTGGTGTGTAGCGAAACAAAAGTTATATCATATAATTGAATTGACCACATATGCTGCATGAGGACATAGAGTCAAATTTCAAAATAGGGGAAATTGCATGCATGCACCTTGAATTTTTGTCATTTGCAAGTTGGATATGATAATTTTTGGCAAGTCCAATCGATAAGGGATGGCAATTATAATTTGAAAGTTCAAGGTTCAACTTGTTAACTAATGGAAAGTTTGGGGGGTATTTTTGTAGAAACACCGTGACAAATCTGTCCATTAATTTATGTTTGTTTGCTCTTTGATCACAATTGTAACAATTTTTCAAAGTTACTGTCCCATTTGTCAAAATCCAAAATTTAGGGCAAGTTGTTGAACATTGATAATTTGTTGTAAACCAGTGTAATTAACCCTTAAAATCAATATCAAATTATTGGAGCAATGCCAATTATTTTCAATGCCCAAAAATGCACTGATGAGGTTAAAATCAAGCTGTATCCGACTTAAATTATAAATTAAAGCCATTATTGTTCATTTATACACATGAAAAAACCCATATAACTACTACTTCCAATATATAGTATAACAGTCAGATCAAATGAATTTATAGCATTACAAAATGTGGGTCATACATCTCATAGATGAAAGTAGAAAAACTAGATGGAATCTGCAATTATCGAACAACTTATCACTGAGTTGGCTGCTAAGATATTTTTTAACTTAAAATTGAAGTTTTCTACAGATCTGCTCCATTTCATAAGAAGCCTAAATTCAAGATAAGCACTTTTGGTCAAAGTATAGTTAATGACTACTTATATTGCCAGTTTAGTTTTAATTAGGACAACAATTCTAAGACAAGGGTTAATTAATTTGGTCGTTCTCTTTTCTTTTCGTCTCTTTTTTTTTATTTTTTTTTATTTTATTAAAGGGGAATTGGGGAAAACATAAAATAAATAAAAGTACTCTACATTCTTCTTCTATAATTGCTATATGAACAATTTACCTGAAGAGATCTTTGAGCTAAAGCTGGGAGGACATTACTTCCCAAGAAGATCTTAACACACAACATTAGAAGTCGGGGAAAAATTGAATATTAAACAAAAAGTTGTATCCAATCCCAATTTTACCCTCTTTTCTTAGTACTTTAAAAATAATAATAATAATAATAAAGATGTAATTTCTTGGAACATCTGTTCTATTTTTTGTTATTTCTTTTAGAGTTTCTTTAGTAGGAAAATAAAATATGAACTACCCGTAATTTTACTTTTCAGTCACCAGATATATATTAAAAACGGTTTGTTTTATATATTTTTTTAATCTGATGTTATTTTAATAATATCAAACGGTTAGTAACTGATCCTACCGGTAAAAAGACCCTACCAAAATAAGTCTTTCTTTTTATAAAAAGCAGAAAAACTGACATACAACGCACCCGGTATTTAAATCCAATGTGAACATAAATATCACAATCAATCCTTCTCTCCATGAAAAATTCTGATAGATATTTATCTTCTTTCCTTTCCTGTGACACCTATATTTTAAATCCAGTCCATATTATCATCTAGCAACTGCATGAAATGTTCCAAACTGTAATCTTCTGGTACATTCATTAGTACACTACAAGTCTACAACCAAATGTTTAATTCCTTATCATTTTCCATCAACTTTCAACATCTAACATCAATTAACCCCAGCATTTTCTTCCCAACACATTCTCAGCAGACAGTAACACCATAATTCAGGTTGAAAAACAACCTAAAATAATAATAATAATAATAATAATAATAAATAATACTCAATTCAGATGTCAGATGAGTAAATAATAATCTGTTTCTAATTCCAAATAACAAGTTCTAGAAACCAGAAATCGAAGTTTATTCATTTATGTGAGCTATAAGGTAACTAGAAAAAACAACAATTAAGCTCATCCGCCAGGCTTAATTATTATCGTGGAATAGAGTTTGCTTTACTCTCATCTCTTCTCCACCTTCTCCACATCTCCTCAACCTCAGTTCCACTAACTCTAGATAACAGCAGAGAATTTCATTCCTACTTTAATCTTTGTATGAAGTGTATGTATAGATGGGATATCATATTTCTTATGTTAATCAAGCTATAGTGTTTTGTATGTGTGCATATATAATCGATGATCTATATAGTTAATACTCTATTACATGACTAAATTAAGAGTCAATTGACTGCAATTCTTTTCAGCATTATTTCCTTGAGCATAAATGCTTTATGTCTTCACAAGAGCATATGGGATAATAATTTCTACGGCAACAAATGTAGAAGCTCAACTTGGTTCGTTAAAAGTATGAAAATTAGAGCTTGTTTATTGTAAAATAATTGTATAATTACATTATATGCTCATCTTATATAAAGATGATTAGGAAGATTCAATTCAGTAATTAAAAAACCCATTTATGTACTTGGTACAGCAGCGTAGAGTGCTTTGATCTCCTCAACATCATCATAGCTACCAAGGAATATTGGAGAACGTTCATGTATCTTCTTGGGAACCAAGTCCAGTGCCTGCCAATTATGTAAATGCTTATAATGATTTCTTTATGCATAAGACATTCATATTCTCAACTCAAAATTCCACAAAGATTCTTCAGAAGTTCAGTGGCAGAATTTTTCATGAACTCTTGTTAAATGAAGAAAACATCTACATAATTTCTCACGTGTTTGGAGCCGCTAGTCCCTAAACTATTTGCATTGTAATAATTTAGTCTCCAAATGATTTTTTTTTTCTCCCTCTTTTGAGCCAATGAATCCTTTTTTTTTTTTTTTCAGTTTTGGACACCAACCATTTTTTTTTTCTTTTTTAATAAGAAAACTTCTATCATTAACAGAAAACAGAAAACTACCCAAAAAAAAAAAAAAAGCAGGACAAACCATAGGAAATAAGAAAAATAAAAACAAGAGGATCCTAACCAATAAAATTGACAAGAGATTTTTAAAAAATTTAATAGAGTATGCATGTACCATTGCATTATAACGTAAAATTTTAGAGAAACAAACAAATATAGTGCAAAATAAAGATTGGAAAACCCTTGAAAATTAGAATATTTTGCAATTCATACAACTTTTTCTGCAAAATCTTTTAAGTTACCCAATATGAGCACAACGCTCCCTTCGTTAAACTTCAAAAGTTTAATAGGTAAGTCCCAGGTTCGAGGTCAAAAATACCAAAATAAACAAAGTTCAGAAACTTAACGGCCAAAAAACAATTTAGAGACCAAATTATCACTTCTTGCAAAATTTAAGGACCAATGGCACCAAGATTTCTGAAAAACCCGGACTTACTTTTGTATGGCTATTGTTCTTGATATTACTACTAAGATATATAGTTAGTTGTTTAACCATTGGGATAGGAAATAACAAAACAAAAGCCCATGTAAGTACCCTTTGTTTGCCGGTGAAAGCTTGACCTCCTGCTTGCTCCATCAGGAATGACATTGGGAAAACTTCGTACAGAACACTAGTTGTTCACAGAGTAATTCACCCGCTTAGTGACTTGGTAATCTTGATGATAATTTTCCATCTGAACCCTTGAAGGGAAAATAAAAAAGCTAAAGATGAACTTAACATACCGGAGTTTTCCATTGGGGCTCTTCTTATCAGCAGGGTATAAGAAGATACCACCATAAAGCAATGTGCGGTGGACATCAGCTACCATACTGTCAATTGTGAGCAACTAATCAAAACCATGCAAAGCAATCAAAATTGGGCTGTATATTGTGAAACAAAAGAAAACAATTACGAGACCAATTTCTGCCAAAGAGAGATTTTAGAGAATTGAGATATTGTTTCCACTATTCCATTTTACATGTTTGATTTCCTCTCTTCCTCTCATGCTAATGTTTAGGATTTGAAGTTGAAAATTCAAACAAGCAATTCAAATGGGGAAACAAGACATGAGTATCATTTTACTGACTAGATTGAGAAACCATTACCTTCCAATATATCTCAGTGACTTCGATGATGAACCGTCCGTAGGGAATTTGCATTTTTCCACGTATCTGCAAGTCAAACGAGAAAGAAAGGGAAAAAAAAATTAGGCATCTATATTGTAAACCCAGCAAAACAGGGGAGATTACTGAATCGAATGCTATGTACCTGGCGGTTGGACCATCCCAATTCTTCGCATTTCCTTCATTCACAGAATAGATATTTCCTTTCTTTGGAATCTGTAAAGGAAACAAATTGGGAAGCGATTTTTAAGGAGTGTAAGACAAGTAGAAAGAGAGCATGGACAAAGATGATGTACTTCGAGTTTATGACAAAGACAAGGGTATCAACACAGCTAGTTAAGTGTACCTTCATGTCTGCGTGAGTTAGTATGAACTCCCCAAGAGATGGGTCAAGGGTGAACCCATTAACTCCATTCCCAGTGCTCAACACAAACTGCAATAAAAAAACAAATTCCAAAATAGTCGAAAATGTAAGGGCTAATACCATTAATCTCATAATTCCAGAATTAAGAAAAGATTACAACATATGTATTGAACTGATAAGAACAGATATTCCACTTGATCTTAGCCAAAACATTGCGACACTAGTAATCATAGTACTCAAAGCATGGTAGTATTGAAAGAAGAAATTGTTATTTTTTCTTTCATTGGGACAATTTGTAATAGGAAGTTAAAGAAGGGACCAATTTCTAACAGGAAGTTAAAGAGGGACTATTTTAGTTATCTTTTGATCATGAAAAATTGTGTTCTATTTTCTGTTTTATGGAAAACTACATATATAGTCACCAATATTGCAAAATATAACGCAACTTATTATGGATATTTTCAAATATTCTATTCCTGAAATTAGTAATAACTCCTCTGAACTTGAAATGTCCTACAAATTATGACGGTCCTCGGATGCAACTTTCCCCAAAGCTGACAAGCTCGGGCGAGAACTTTGCAAGAAATTTCAAAGGGGTTTTTTTCTAACTTTCTTGGATAATACATTATCATTAAGAAAGCCACAAAACACAAGGGAATCAAAGAAAAACTAAGCAAATTCTACTTATAAGAAAACAAGAGAAGGGTAATGTTTCACATTACCGTGCAAGAGCTCCCATACATGCAATAACCAGCTGCTAGCATATTCTTCCCGGGTTGCAAGACATCATCCAGAGAAGGTTCATGGTCATCTTTGATTGCATAAATCCCAAAAATCTACGAGACACATTTTTTTTTTTTCACCGCAATATTTGAGTTATTCTGGAACAAATAATTGCTTCATTTTTATATCCCAGTACAGAGTTTCAATAAAATAACATTAATTAAGAACAAAAAACAAAAATCATATTTCACATTAATAAGGAAGAGAGATCTTACCGTCCCAATCGAAACACCACAATCAATGTTAGAGGATCCATCCAGTGGATCGAAAACAACACAATACCTACAACCAGAAGAACAGATTAATGGAAGCACGCATATAAAATGATGCAATAAAGTACTCGATAAAAATGTATAAAAGAACTTTGCATTGATACCAATGTAGTTTATAGTGATTTTAAGAAGTAAGATTTTTAGCTTCAAAATTCTGCTTCGCATGCTTCTTTAAATAAATATTTCCAAGACAAAACAGGGTGGAACAAGTACCTTCCACGTTTAGAAGGCTCCACAAATGTTGCTTCTTCATCTTCTTCAGAAACAAGTATGCACTGGCAATACCAACACACACAAATTGGATAAGTGATGATAAAAAAAATGAAAAAAAAAACAAAAAAAAACATTTCATCTGGTGACTTACAGTTCGGCCACTGCTTATCAAAGCCTTGATAAAAACTTCATTGGAAAGCACATCCAGTTTCTTCTGCTCTTCACCCTTCAGTCAAAATCCCAAAATATCTTCATATAAAAGTACTATTCCTTGTGAAAACAGCAAAAAAGAACAAGGAGAGAAACAAAGAGAAACTAAAGATTATTGGTAAAGCATCACAAATGCCCATCTCAACAATACAGCCACACATGTAAAGACAAAATTGGTATTTCTGACCCATCCACTAATTCTTTTTTTCTTTTCCTTTTTCTTTTTCTTTTTTCCTTTTGTTGTTTAGAATTGAAACCATCAAAGAATTACCTGCACATTGGTCTCTCCAGCAAGTCCAATGAGCTTCGCCAGACCAGCCTGTCACAACATAAAAGAAAGAAACCATTTTACATATTCCAAAATGCTCTAAAAAATGGGAAAAAAAAGAAAAAGAGAAATAATTGAATATAATAAGGAGCGTTACACATATTCAACAAAAAATTACCCAATACTAGTCCCAGTCAAAATGCTCTAAAAAAATAACAAAAGATGAAAGAGAATAATCTAGGAAAAAAATTCACATATACTACAAATCAATCAATAAAACCAAATAAGCCAATACTAGTCAAGTCAAAATGTTAAAAGGTACTTTAAAAGAAGGGCAAAACAGAAGAAGAAACAATAGAATGGAAGAAGAAAACCTTTATCATATATAACCCCACCCATAAAATCCATGAAAACGAAATTTAGGCAAAAAAAAATATTATTCCAAAGTCAAAAAGCTTCTAAAAAAGACAAACACATATGTATAAAAGGCAAAACAGAAGAAGACCTTGTTAACAGCAGAGCATACGAACTTGCAGCCAAGGACGATGTGGTTGAGCAAGATGGTGAAGTCGCCGCGCGACTCCGGGTGCCTCGACTGCTCGTTCAGCACGTACCTCGTTATCGTCATCAGGTCCGTTCGGTGAGCGTCCGCCGCGTGATCCATCTTCTTCAATCCGATCACCACAAAACAAATATTGCTATTGAAACAATAAACGCAGAATACAAAAAGAATACAAGAATTTACTTCTTCATCAGTCCAAACAAAAATGAAGTTTTGAAGCTTTGAGGAGCTGGGTGGTGGTGCGCAATTCGAGGCAAAAGATGATCAAGATTATAAATACGCTACTGGGTAGCCATGGATGGAAAGAGACAAAGATTGGTTTTGTTTTGTTTTTTTCTTTTTCTGTTTGAGGGATGAAGGAAGGTTAAGGAGGGACACGTGGCGACGTTGGGATGGGAGAAAGAGTTGGTGGACGTCAGACGTCGTTCAGCGGATAATGCTCCTCGTCGTCTTTCTCGATTTCCGATTCGACGGTTCCCAGGTTTTTGTCATTTTCTTTCCTTTCGTTCTGATGATCATCGCGTGATGATGATGATCAAATAGCACGAATCCGATACCGTCGACTTTCCGTTTTTTCTCTTCGAAAATATTTTTGTTTATTTATATGATTGCAAATAGCTCCTCTTATTTTGTGCTATTTTTCTCTCAGGGCCTTCCAATTTCTTATGGGTGAAAAAATTGTAGGAATATTCGTGTGGGCGATCATTTTTAGCCACCCTTGTCAAAAAATGGCAAAGCTTTTTTTTAAAAAAAAAAATTAAGCTGGATGGCCGTTTCTGTCACCATGTTAAATAAATATAAACCACCCGTCAAAAAATAAATATAAATCATAAATGTTACGTGGAAAAATATTAACATTATTTTTTATGTTATTTTTTTATTATTATATTTACTATTTAACACGTACATTTTATTATTTAGTTTTATATTTAAATAAAAGAAAAAATTACATGTTTTATTTTATAATTATTAGGCCTCTTAATTCTTTTAAAAAAAAAAAAAACTCTACCATTTCACTTATATTAGATATTTTGATCACAAATTAAATATACCCTTCTCTCTCCTCGGGCTTTTTCTCTCGCATCTGCACACTCTCTCTCTCTCTTCTCTCTCTTCTGCGGCGATCTTCCTCGTCTTGGGCATCTACTCCGTCTCTCCCTCTCTCGTGTGAACGAAGGCTATCGAATTGCGCCGCCGTCGATGGATTCCATCGCGAGAAGTTGATCAGTGTGAATCTCAACGATCTTCTCCAATCTACTCCGGCGAAAACCTAGAATCCTTGGTTGATAGGTTCAGGCATGATTATGCCAGTTTACAAGATGTCGACTGCCTCCAATCGCGGGCCAGTTGTGTGTCTCCGGCTGGCTCGGCAATCGGAGGCGGCGACGAGGAGATAAGCCCTCTGTTATCGTAGGTTGAGAGGCCCAAAATCAACATTTTCACGGTTTCTTATCCCCGGAGAAAACTTAGGGTAAGAATCATTCGAATTGGTATTCCATTTGTGATTTGGATTTGTTGAGATTTTTTGTTATTTTTTTTTGGATCAATTTAGTAGATTCTTCTTCGACTTCGAAGACATCCAATCATATTTTAGGTGAAAATAAAAACATAACATGATAGATTATGAATCATATTTTGACAGACAATGGCCGGTGTCAGAGTTTGGAGATCCTTGAGCTGACGTAACTTGTCAAATTATGTATCATAATTTGATAAATTATAGTTGGTGCCGGTGACCGGCGGTCAGCATTAGTCATAATCTAACAAATTATAGTCAGCGTCAGCATAACTTGTCAAATTATAGATTAGTCTGATAAACTATGTTTGGCGCTAACATAATCTGACAGATTACGGGTCACAATCTGAGAGATTATGGATCATAGTGTGGCTAGTATCTACATAACTTGTCAGACTATGTGTTATTGTCTGACAGACAATGGTCGGCTCGCTAGTCGTCGGAGATCTCGTTGTCGGTCACTGGAGAGCTGTCAGAGACCGGCCGGCTGGCCGACTCCGATCGAAGGCGGCCGACATTTTATAAATTAGCAATTTACTTTTAGGGCATTCTGGTAATATTGGACTTTGACTAATGTTTGACTAGATCTACTCAAAATGGGTAATGTTTGGGGTTAATAATAATTTGTTGTACCATTTTGAGAGGTAGTTATAAAAGTCACTCTATATAAAAATATATCATATTAGTGGAATATACATATCAAATATTAAATGTAAAATATGACAAATAGAGTGATAGAAAAAATAATACTTACATTTTTCATGTTACAAGTAGGTCCTCTTATTTTGTGCTATTTGTTCCCATGGCCTTTGAATTTATTAAGGGAGAAAATGGCCTTTGAATTTACTAGGGGAGAAAATTAATGAGCTTTGACTTTTGAAGATTTCAGTAATTAGTGGGGATTAGTAAGGAATGTATTTTAGAGAAGTTAAGAATGCCAACTAATTATGAAAAAAATAAAAACTAAATAATAATAATAATAATCTTCATAAGCAAAGTTTTGGGACTCCGACGAGCACAAGTGAACAAGGGCGCGATATCTAGTATGGGGCTGAGCCTGTTCGCGACGTTGTTGCCCAGTTGCCTCCTCACTAGATTTCTCAAATATGTTCCTTGTTCCATAATCTCAGACAGACTGTCAGATTGCATGGTCAACTGCATTTTTACTTGCCTTACGGGTGGTACAAAATAACCATTCCTACCGCAAAAACTCCCCAATTCTTTCAGATGTCAATCTTTATTCGTTTCACAACTCAAGTTTTATTACTACAGTGTTTTCTTTTACAAAAATTTCAATTTAATTTTTTTACTATAGTGTTTTTCAACATACAAGAAACTCAATTAATTTAGACAGCTTGATTAGCAAGCATGGGGAATCTTTAAGAAAATAATGATTTCTTAATTTGAAAACGAACCTCGAAATACAGAGGCCATAAGACGAAGATAATCAAGACAATTGGGAGGAGATAAAGTACGCACATATTTTATCATCTAAGGATGGAAAACAAGGAGTGACAAGCACAGAGAAGCTTCGAACTATGGAGAAAATGTTGTCAACTCTATGAGATCATCTAAGCAATTTACAAGCTGAAGCTGAGAATCTTTGAGATAATGGCTCAGTTTGGTATTGATTTTGGGAGGGAAAAAGCGCTTATAGTTGAAGTTAAAATTGATAAAACTGTTTGGTAAAACGCAAGAAAATATATTTTTGAACAATTTGTTAACAATCTGAAGCTAAAAGCAGAATCAGCCTAAAGGCTGATTCTGCTTCCAACTTATGCGGGAATCGGTTTGAGAGTTTAATGAATTTTTTTTTATTCTCAATTTTATCCCCAATGAAATCTCAAATTTACCACCTGACAATCACATTTTCAGATCTGCTCCTGTTCTCATTTCCCCTCTCTCCGTTCTGTCTCCTCTCTCCTCCTTTGCTCTCTCTGTTATCTCTCTTCTCTGGCTTCGTTCTGTCTCCTCTCTCCGTCCGAAGCAATCTTCCCGGGCTCCTTTCGTCGGTCTCTCTCTCCGTTCACCGGTCTCTCTCTCCGTTCACCCACCGAGTGCTCGTTTGGTTTCTCCACCGCGCGCTTGTCGGTTTGCCAGTCTCCCATCTCCCTCCTCCGACTGCCCCACAAAAATGAATCTTTTCCTCTTCAACTTCTAAAACTCTCTCTCTCCTCTCTTTCTCTCTCTAGAAAATGCTCTCTCTCTGATTCCTCCCTTCCACCAACTTCCAGTTCCACACCCCCAAAAACCCCAAGATTCCCTACCCCAAAACCCCTGGCCGTACGGTCCGTCCTCTAATGGAATAGGAAGCCGGAGCTGGCTGGAGAGACCCCCCGCGTGGTCTTCATAACCTCCGGCAAGGGCGGCGTCGGCAAGACGACGACCACCGTGAACGTCGGGCTCTCCCTCACCCGCCTCGGCTTCTCCGTCATGGCCATCGACGCTGATGTCGACCTCCGTCATTGGCTGGGTTGGCTTTTAAGTAAGCAGCTTGGAGGCTGGGTTGAGCAGGATAGCATGAAGGCTGTTATGGTTGAGGAAGAGCCCAAGAAGAAAGGGTTCTTCTCCTTCTTTGGTGGGTAGGATTCATATATTATTATTATTATTATTATTTATATAACCTTTTTGTTGTTGACAGTTTTGGAGAATTTTTTTGAAAATTTGATGAGGGATTGATGCAAGTGTTATTGAGCTAGGCTTGTTAGAAGCTCTGTACAGTGGCCCAGTGGGTCTTCAAAGTTTACCCCGTCTTGATTTCTGTTATTTGTTTTGATCTATTCGATTGTTTGGTTTTGCAGTATTAGTTTTGAAGATTGTGTCTGTTGCACATAGTTGAGATCGGCTGAACAATGGTTTCTGTTCTTTAGTGTTAGTTTGAAAGATTGGTGGCTCTAGGATTAGTTGTTGTTCTACTTATCGTTGAAGGAAAATGGAATGGTTATTGCAATGAATTTATATCCTTTATCTTGAGCTTCATGGACCAAAAATATAGAAGATTCGTGAACTAACTAATGTTCAAAACATTTTGCAATGCATTTGGTGTGTTCTAGCTAGTCATTTATGATGATTCATGATAGCATCAAATGACAATGACGCTTGAATGTCTTGAATTATAACAAAGAATAAGATGTAACAAAGTTTGCATCATTGGTTTGGTAGTTTCATTATGTTGTAGACTAGACATACTTTATCAACATGATCTTAATGACTCCCGTGAGGTATCTGGTTGAATTATTTCTTTAGCAGTTATCTTCTAGTTCTCATCATGTTTCCTGCCCATCGTACCAAATCCGCGAAAATGCCAATGTGATTTGATAAGCAATGGAGTTACCAAAGCATATGAAACACCATATAGCGGTCACTGACTTTACATTTTGGTGACTTCACCTGAACACCAAAGAGTCTGGTCTTAGGAAGTAGTATTGGATTCGGTGGTAACAAGCCGAGAGTTCACCGGTAGTCTCCTTGGCAGTTCTGGCCCCACACTGGTAATATCCGCCTATTCTTCTATCAAGTAAAGCCAATTTACGGGACCGGATCCTCACTGATGTGTAGGCCAGCGTCAGGGTTTACATTATGCGATATTCAAATGTTTTTAAGTTGGTGGCAATTGAGAAGTGTACCGGTTGCTGGGAATATTAATGGATGAAGTATGAGATCAAATTGCGACAAGTTTAATGAACACGATTTAATTCTTTTAATGACTCTGTCAGTTTTTGAACATGGAATGTACATTTTTTTCAACAAATTGATTACTCACTAATGCTCATTTTAGTTGTAACTATATTCTAAATGAAGAAATGAAAAAAAAAAAAAAATTATCATAAATTTATTATTAAAAAACTCAAAATTATAGCATTATGTTTTTTTTTAAGTTAATCAAGTATTTCTAAATACTAAAAATAATTATATATATTTAAATTTCATATAATGTCTATTTTGGTCATTTTACATACCCACAGCAATTCAACATCAAAATTTACCAAACGCTATTATACTGATTTTGAAACCAGCACAGATATTATAATTACAGTTTACCAAACACTTCGCTACTTCTTGTAACAGTTACTTCTTCGTTCAGCACAGCTAAAAGCAATTTTTTTAAAATCTACAGCACTACCAAACTAAGCCAATATGTGCTCGCAAGTAGAAGCTGGCACATAGAAGCTTCAGGATTGCAGAGAAAATGGTGTGAACTTTGTGACATCATCTGGGACTAATGGAGGACTTGCTGACCATGTTCAACCAGATGGTGAGGATATTCAAATTGATCCAAACCAGATAATGGTCTCAGAATCTGAACTGGAAAATTAAACACGCCCGGTCACTCGGCAAGACCATAATCTAGGCAAAATCTACAAGCTGAAACGGAGAACCTTCGAGATAATAAGTGCTCTCAAGTAGAAGTTGTGGGTATTATCATGTTTCAGCCCAAGGAACCTCAGGAACATTTCAAACCATTTGATGAAGAAAAATCACGATGATGGAGAGCAAAGACTACCTGAGATGCCAGAAAGTATAAAAGTAGTATTTTAGAAGAAGGCGATCCGTTATCTATAGAGATTGGTTGAACTCCTGATATCAAGGATCCAGAACCTTACGGTGAAAATTACTTATCATGGGAAACCATGTAGTTTGCCATAACCAGACAGAGATATTTCATGTATGGAAGTCGCAGTTTTAATTAAATGATTGTTTACCAGGGAAAAAAAGGACAATAACAAGTTGGGGATCTATCAAATAATTCCCTTAGAATGGTGGAATGTTTTAGATATTGGTGCGCTCTTCATGCAAAGAGAATAAAACTGACACCAGTAAATACTTTGTAATCTTCAACTTAAAAAAAAAAAAAAAAAAAAAAAAAAAAAAAAAAAAAGTTTTTTTTAGCTTTTGTTCTCCTTCTCCTTTGCCTTGCATAGGTCCTCTGCTGTCTTGGTAAACTTCTTGGTCAACTCTTCAACCTAGAAACATAACAAAAAGTCAGAAAAACACTCGGGCAGAAAACTTAACATCCATACAGAAATTATCTTTATAACTCACTTCTTTCTCCAATCTCTTTATATCATCTTTAGGGTAGCTTGATTGCATTTTCTTTATTGTGTCCATAGCCTGAAAAACAGAGTGACCACAATCTAGTTTAGAAATGGAAAAAAAAAAAAAAAAACAACAACAACAACATTTCAAAGACGCGGTGCATAATGCAATATTTCCGCTCTAAGTAAAAATCTGTCATAAATTCATAATAAGAACTGAAATTAGAGGTAGAGTGTATTGTTCACTTCTAGAGTTAGAATAAAAACCCACTAAGACAAGTGAGCCTCCAGCCTGCAGGATACACGCATCATGTATATAGAAATTTGTACATAGCGTTAAGATCATAAGAAACAGAGCTTAGACTAATCTACCCTTTGGCGCGCCCTTCTTATGCTTTGTTTGGCATCTTCGCAAGACTTCATAACCACTTTACAAACAGCCTGACAAATGTTACGACTGATCAGGTAACGAAGAAACTAGAAGTACCAAGCAGAAAAATAGGAAGAGAAAATTGAAGTTACCTGAATATGCTCTTGGGTCAACCTGGTGATACAAAATGAAGAAAAGAAAATCATTTTGACAGTTAAACACATTCATAGCTAAAACAATACAACTCCTTCAAAAAATAACTAACAACCATCGAACTGGGAAAAGTCCTTACGGAGGAATGACAGCAATCAATCGCTCACCATCCACCTTAGGACTAAGCCCCAAGGGAGATGAAATAATGGCTTTCTCCAAGCTTTTTAGGGCCTGTAGTTAGAAGTCAATCAGCATTTCCCACATAAACTCGGAATTTAACGAAAATGGGATCCTATAATGACTCTTATCTTGTCATTATACAATATCGGGTTGCTTTAATAAAAAAAATTGTATTTAAATCCAACTTATTCACAATTTTTAGGACAATGATACACTTCATGAACAGAGATTATCAGAATTGTGAGTTCTACAAAAGTACGATCACCTATCACATATCTTTTTTTTTTTCATGGTGTGTATAATTTTACTACGAAATACCATTTCCAAAACTCATTGAACGTATAACGTAGAGAACAGATACAACATTTCCTCAAAAAAAAAATATATATATATATATATCTATATATCAAAACATATGCAATATATATATATATATATATATATCATTCGACAAGAGCCTAGTTACTTACACTTGGATCAAAAGGATTGACAGACAAGGTTTTGGAGTCTATGACTGAAACAACCGCTATTTGATTCAAAGGCAACTTCACATCACCAAGATCCACCATAATATGGTCAAGCATTCCTTCACCATACCATACGCATTATTATTATAATAATAATAATAATAATTAAAAATTAAAAAACTAATAAAAAAACCAAATTTCCGACAATTTGATAATCAAAATCAAAATACATGAATGGAAAACAAACATTAGAGATGATAATTGTGAATTGTGATGAATGTGAACCTGAAGAAGCCCTTCCCGTTCGTAGCTTGCTTAATTCCGTTGATAATGCGGCGATTGCCGAATCCATCTGTGAGGTCACGTTTGACTTAATAGTTGGTCCCAAGTCTGGTAATTCCACAATCGTACTACTCGAACCAGAATCTTCCTCTACCAAAAATTCAATATATACACACACACACACACAATTTATTAAAATTTCTAAAGAAAGTTAAGTTTCCGGAAAAAAAAAAAAAAAAAAAAAAAAAAAAAAAAAAAATTTTGAAAATTTTTTTTTTCTTTTCAAAAAAAAAAAAACTTTGATGAATTTTACTTGACTTTCGGCCTTTGGCGAAGCCTCTGCGAGTGTCTCTGAGGAAATCGAGATTCGGAGGAGAGAGAGTGTTGTGCGTATTGGAGCTGCTGCAGAGGCGGCCATTGGTGGAGCTGATTAAATGCTGAGAGCTCCGAAGGAGAAGGACGTTTCTGTACGAGAAAGCGCGTCTTATAAAGATCGCCATGGCTATACTTTCATCGAAGCTCTTTCTTCTTCTTCTTTTTTTCTTGTTTTAGGGTTTTACTTTCTCATTTCATAAACCCTGCACGGTGAAGGTGACTATGTGAGGTTGAGGGCGGACTGAGGAGAGGTTCATGATTTGGGCCTCCTTTTATCGGACTAAGGCCCAAGTCCGGTAGTATTCTGATTAAATTCCGAAACGACACGTCGTTTATTGTTTAAATATTTTGCTCAAAAAAATTGACGGTAGATTTTGCACCTGGTTCCGAGACTGTTCACGCACTGGTTTTCAGACCAGATTATTAATAACGGTTTTTAAAAATTCAAACCCAAACAGACCCATTAGTAAGATGAGACCGGAAATAATCCGGTCTGGTTAAACCGTAGTTTAATCGTTAATATCTTTTTTCTTTTTTCAAATTAGCGAAATTATATGTTATATAACGCATACCATCCTTTAAAATTAACAATAATATGTGGTTCTAATTAAAAGGGAGGAATCAAAATTACGTAATTTTGATAAAAATGTTCAAATATTTTCTTTTTCTTTTAATTTTTAAAATATATATTCTTAACAGTCCAATCCGGTCCAAACCGTTAAAAAAAATTACAAACCATACCGGATCATTAAGATAGTAGTCCGGTCTAATTTTAAACCATTTCTTAACGAGTTTTACGTGGAACTGGACAGGCAGTCCGATTTGAACCGGACCATGCACAACCCTATTCCCATTCTTGCCCGTTTGGTTAATGGGTTCTAACCCATAGTATTCGATTATGCTACGGTGTTTTTTTCATAAAATTTTGAATTTAAAAAAGACCCATTAATAGGTTCTAAATTGTCATTTACTTCATAGACTTAAATAAAAATTTAAATTTCTCAGTGAAAAAATAATGTAACAAAAAGATTTGAACTGTGATTTAAATATATGTAACAAACTATACTAAAAATTGAATCGATTAATAGAAGATACACTTCTTAAGAGTACGTGAGTCGTTGTCAGAAAATTAAAGATTAAAAAAGGAATTAATGGTCAGGGACTCTTAACGAGTAAAGTAATAAATGATAAAATCATTTTGGTGTCCTTTGTTATATTGAAACATATTGTTGGTACTTTTTTTAATAATATTAAAATGGTTTCTCAACTTTTTAGAATACGCTTGTTTAGTATCTTGAGGTTGATTTTTGTGACATACAATGTTCTTTATATCCTTATAATTAATTACTTTAAATTGGTTTTTTTAAACGTATTAAAAAATAATAAATTTTTTTGGTTGATTAGTTGTTAATCGTTGGATCTAGCCAAAATCATATCAGATTAAAAAAACATTCATAACAGACAATTTCTAATACAGATTTAACAATTGAAAAATAAAGAACTACCGATAAATTATTTTTATTGATACCTACCATAGAAGTTCCCAACAAAAATAACTTAAAACATGAAAAAATTGAAAAGAAGAACATCATCTTTTTCCTTTAAAACCCATACATATCAAAATTTGGAGAACCATAATTGATAATACCATATCTAAATTTAGAGAACATGCTTACAAATTGAGATCAAAAGTTGGGTGAAAAATCTCTTCAACCGTTTTCTTTTAAGTTTCGTTGGGTTTTATTGCGTCGTCACGGTCAGGTCTCGCCTTACCATCTTTGCTCATCATGTCGCGGCTGTTCATGGGGCCTCACCTCCGAAAGAAGAGAAAGCAAATTATGGCAGTAACAACACCAAAAGAGCAATTGAATCTAATCTCAGCCTCAAGATGCTAAAAAAAAACACACGTTTTCTAAAATAGTGATAAGGGCACAATAAACGTTTTATGTTCCAAAAATCAACTTAAAAATAAAAAAATTATAAAATGTAGAATTACTATTTTAATATTATTAAAAACTAATGGTATCAACAATATGTTTTAATATAATATAAGGTACTAAAATGATTTTATCTCGAGTAGAATATGGACTTTTTTCGATAAATTTTTTTTGTCGTTAATGTCAATTTTATGATGATTAAATATGATCAAAATCACACTAAATTTAAAAAAAAATACATAATAAATCATTTTTAATTAAGATATAATAACTAAAAGTGATAACTATTCATTTTTCTTAATCTTACTTGATAAACTCCCAACTAATAATGATGATTGACCATCTTCCGTACAAAAGTCATATTAATTTTATCCAACGGTGAAAAAAAATAGACTCGTAGGCTGCAGTTAATGAGAAGTTTAGTTCATAGATTTAGAATTATTTTTATTTTATGTGTGTATTTTATAAAAAAAATATTATAACAAGTTACGAATCATGATTCAAATTATAACACGAATCTCTCTTCTAAACATCTCCTAATTATCTCATCATGTAAAACAGTAATCCCAGCTTCGTCCGAAAGAAAAAAAGCACGACACAACTCTTTTCTCTTCTTCAAAGGAAAGTATCGCCGATCGTCTAAGTACAACGTACAAGCCACTTGTGCCGTTAATTTCCTAAAACACCCTTATTCTTCTCCAATATTCCGACGACCAAGCCGTTTATTGAACCACACTTTCTGGTGTATAATGGTAATTCCGTAGTAGTATACGACATCGTTTCCTGTCCTCCTAGCTGGGATTTGTTAACTCTTTACTTTTCGGTTTTAACCCTTTTCCCCAGTTAAAAATTGGAAGCCCCTTTTTGTCATTTTGGAAATCTCCTCCACTCCATCGATCGTCTTCTTCAAGAAAACATTTTGATCTGCGAAATTCGGAATTGGAACCCTAGTTATTCACTGTTGGATATTGGGAGGATTCTCCAATGGCGGATCAGGAGGAGGAGGATCTCCGAATGGCTCTGCGGATGAGCATGCAGAATTCGCCGCCGGAGCCCAAGCGGAGCAAGCCCAGGGACGCCGTCGCCGGAGGAGGAGCTGCTACTCCGGCGGAGGAGTTTCCGGAGGTGAAGAGCCGCCAGCAACAGCGCGAGCTCATGGCCGCCGCAGCCGAGAAGCGAATGCTGTTGGCTTCCGCGAAGAAGAACTCGGCTCCTCCGCCGCCTGTCTCGCGCTCGGCGGTCTCGGATTCCAAGGTTGTGAAGAGAGAGAAGGATTTAGGGTTGGGCGATTTGAATTTGGGGAGGAAATTGACGGAAGCGGAAGCAAACGAGCTGTTCTCGATGGTGTTTGGGGCTGAAGTCTCCAAGGGAATTCTTGCGCAGTGGAGTAATCAGGGTATTAGGTGAGTTTAAGTCATTTTGTACAATTGAATTATATAAGGTGATTACTCAATTTTCGATATATTCAATGTGATTGGAGAATCATGAGATTAATGGCACAGAAAGTTCACATTTTTGGCAAGTAATTTGATTCTCAATTGGTGCAAATTGCAATGACTTGGATTAGGCTTAGACCAATTCTGTTATTTGATGAAAAATTTGTTTATCGAACTGAATTTTGTTATGTGGACTGCGGAGGAAATTCAGTCAACTTATTTTGATACGTGGAATTGCTGATTTTGACTGCTTTTTAAAGAAAATGTATTAGGGGTGTTGGTGTTGTCTTCAATGACTTTCTTCATGCATAATATATATATATATATATATATATTTTTTTTTTTTTTCTTTTAATGATTTGAGTTTGAAGGGCTAGCAATTGGCGCAATAGGTTGTAATATATTCTTATGTATGAAATGTTTTTATGTAATTTTGAGGACTCGGTGTCTTCTTTCGCCTCTTTATGTCATTTGACTAAACAAAACCTACCAAATACTCATATGGTTGGACTTTGGCATTTGTGACCGTATGTAATTGAAGCCTATATGAGCGCATGCCCATTGGGGAAATAGTGGTGACTATCCTTGCTTTTAAAGATTTTTCTTGATTTCTTGTCTTCTTGATATCGATTGTGTACAACGTGAATGTTTGGTATAAAAACTTTTGAATTTTTTGATGTTTTGTGCTGTCTTATAGGAAGTTTTGAGTTCCCTCTAAGATGAAAGTAAATGGTGGGCAGGTTTAATAATACTTCGAGTTTTGCCGTCTAGAATAAGCAGGGGCTGAGAGTGAGGACCATTATAACTCAACTCAGTGTAACTTGTAACCATTTTCTTACCAGTATCTATATGTTTGTATTTCGCATTATGTCACCAACCATGACCAAACAAATAAATTGAGTAATTAAAAAGGAAAGGAATTATTTATGTTCATTGTCATGAATAATCAACTTCCGTTTTCTAAGCTGTACTAATTTTTCCGTACTAGGTGCTAAATTGGTTGCCTTATGCTCAACTTAATTTGTTGTTATTCATAATGTATTTATAGGTATGGTATTCTAGTAGTACATCATTTCTGTATGCATTGTCCTGTTCCGTCACTAGTTCAATATTGATATCATGACATCTTGGGTGTGAGTTTCTGGTTAAGCAAATTCTGATGTTCTCCATTGAATTCATACATATTTATTTTACGTTTAATGTTCTACTTGAATCCTTCATCTTCGTTGTTGATGTGTGAAAAATTTTAGGTTTAGCCCTGATCCAGAAACTACTATGGGCCTAGTGCAACATGAAGGTGGGCCTTGTGGAGTCTTAGCAGCCATTCAAGTAATTTCTTTTTATCTCAGCATATTGGTTTCCAAGCTTACAGTATTTGGACTCTAAATTTTGTCAGTTGACTTGCCCAATACTTTTCAAGAAAATTATGATCGTGCATTTTTTACGAACTAACATGGAGTCACCTTTGTATGACTGACGTAATTTTAGCTTCAATTCTTACTAGGAGTTGCTATGTAGACATGTATTTCTCCCGAATTTGTATCAATCTTCAAGCCACCTAATTTGAAAATTGAGTCAATCATAAGTTTTATTTGTTTAAACAATACAGCAGAATATGTTGATCAATTCAAATTTTTTTTACGCTTTTTCATCCCATTTCAATATGTTTTTCCTTCATTTTCACAGCTCCCCCAAAGATTCTTTTGTTTCTCTCCAGCCATGTAAGACATAGCAAACTGTCTCTGAAAATATTGACTTCAAAATTGCTCCAGCACGAACATTCGAACCTTCTTGAAAGCTTACCATGAATAAGTCCACACGCCTCTTGAGCACGGCCTAGGTTAGATTTAATTCCTGAAACAAATTATGCCACAAGCCCACAACATGAATGCATCCTTGCAAATTTGTTATGGCACAATCATACACGAGGAAGGAGACAACAAAATACTTAGTTTTGCACTTAAAAAAAGTTTTTTACTCTGTAACTTATCAAATGGGTTAAACTTATATAATACAGCCATTCTTTCATGTTGTTATGATGTATATTCAGTTATATTTGTTGCCACTTCATTTAGAATGTTCATCAATTAGATTAGTTCAGTCATCACATTTGTTGATTACATAAGAAAGCATTTTTTGAAATTCCGTTGATCTGTATATATAAGGGGAAAAAAAATCAATGATCTATAATGTTACACGTTTGCTTTATTTGATGGCGGTGCCATTCACGGTTTCTCTAAAATAAGATAAACAAATATTCCCTACATTAAGAAGATTGATTTGTATGAAAAAAGAAAAAAAAAACAGTTGATTAAATTGTTCCACATCATGAATTTTGGAACTTTTGTTGGTGTTGATTTTCTGAAATTGGGCCGTAGACTGGTACTTGGCTCTTCATTTTACTTGGTTTTTCCCGATATTTTTCACATCAATCGAAAGTCTTCTGCAATAGTTTCTCTTTGCTGTAATTTATTAGTTTCTATTTTGGAATTGAATTTTCACTGGGATTACGGTACCACAAGGAATGCATGAGAAATATCTCTTCCTATCAACATTTAACAAAGTAAGTTTGACAAACTACAGCTAATGAGATGTAACCAACCATTCCAATTTGCGTTTAAAGGAATTAGCAGTACTGAAGAGTGAGACACATGAAAGTATTAGTCCCCGTTTGGTTCACTGGTTCGAATTTTATTGATTTTAGCTTTTTTGTTTTAACAGAAAAATTCAAACTGTGTAGTTTAAATTGTAGTTCGAATTGACGTTTAGATGTGCAGTTAAAATTTTAATTTGAATCAGGAATAAAATTCGAATTAGTGTTTGGTAGGTGTGAAAAGCAGAAGAGAGTGGACACCTTTTCCTGGTAAAAAATGATTTGAGAAGTTGAACTAAAGGGGAGAGCTAAACTCTAAGTTGGACAGTTTAACTCAGTTCAAACGGGGAATATAATTCGGACTGCGTGCTTACTAAAAATGAGTTTAAACTCTGCTCATTGTTCAAACTGAACTGAACTGAGTTAAACCAGTGAAACAAACGGGGGTTTAGTTTACTCTATTCGAAGATGGCGTGGGATAATAGAATATCTTGCTGGTGTTGTGCTGGGGAAATCTTATTTGTATAACTGAATCTGGTTGGAATACTTCAACTTAATGTTTATATGTTTATAAAGTTTGCTAATTATCAGAAACCTTAGTTTTAGTATCTTTGCCTATGTTGCCGATTCTGCCTATCAAAATATGTGGCACAAATTGTTTAGAAGAATCTTTTTAATTTCTCTCTATTTTCATCATTCATCCTCCAAATGGTTGTTTTCTGTGTCTATTCTACATTTGGATATTTCGCCTTTAGTCATTTTACTCCTAAAAGTTGAAGATGTGCACACACAAAAATCGCGTTAGCAATATTTGTCACATTTCTTTCTATCTATTTATGTTAAATGAAGATTTTCATGATGGAAGTTTTAAACCTTTTTGGTTTGGTAGTTTTGTTTTTGATTTTTCCCCCTTTTTTTCCCCTTTGTTTTCAATTATGTGCCTTTTTCCCTAAAGTTTGTTTTTGCTTCCTGCTATATACTCATTTATTGTTTCCTTTTATGCAGGCATTCGTCCTCAAATACCTTCTTTTCTTGCCAGAAGAATTAGGTAAAGTTGCACAAAATACGCCACAACCTTTGGCTTCAAGGAGCTTATCTAATAGTCAATTTGTTGCATCAGATAATTTGTCTTCTCTTACTGAAGCTGCGAAAACAAGGTAACTTTGCATAGCAATCTATTTATTTGTTTGATTATGCAAGTTTATGCTTATTACAAGTGATGCTATTCTTCTGTGTTACTAAAAAAGGGGGATTTCTATATATATATATATATATATATATATATATATATAGAGAGAGAGAGAGTATTTTTTTCTTTTCCAGACATAGAACATGTCATTTGTGGTATCTGATTAGTACGATATTAAATAATATTTATCTTTAGTTTTACTTTGGCATTTTTTTTTGTGCAGTTATATTCAAAATTCCAAATGCGTTTAATTCTACGTGTAGAACATGTCATTTGTGGTATCTGATTAGTACGATATTAAATAATATTTATCTTTAGTTTTACTTTGGCATTTTTTTTGTGCAGTTATATTCAAAATTCCAAATGCGTTTAATTCTACGTTGTTGTGTACTTTATGAATGTCTGATAGTAACAAATCCCAAGGAGTTTTACAGTTGGGCTATCTCTACAACTATTTCACTGAACCACTGGTAGAAATTGATCCGCATTTCTAAGATGAGTGGGATGGGGTTTGGGGGGAAGCTTGTGGGTTCGATCCCGTGTTGTATAAAAAAAAATAAAAAAATAAAAAACCTGAATTAAAGTTCAATTCACCATCACTGTGATAGAGGTTTCTGCTCAAGTCCGATGACACATCCATAGCACTTCTACATCGAAAGACCGTAAAGCTAGTTTGAGGCACCTTTCAGGGTTCCTGCTTTAATGTTGGTTCACCGCATTGGGCTGAATATTCTTGTGTCGTCACATTTGGAACATTTTACTAGAATTGTGTGATTATTGGCTATGAGTACATGTTAAATGCATGCCAGAATTTTGTTTTTGTTTCTTATGAATGTTTTTTTCTTCTTTTTCTTGTGCTAAATGCTGACTGAAACCTGAATTTAAATGTTTTGATTAGAGCCCTGATTAAAAGCATGGGTGAGATATTGTTCGTATGTGGAAGTAATAAAAGTGCGGTTATTGCAACATTGAGTGTTATAGGACAAAATATTGAGGACTTCGAAGGCAGCCCGAAGGATGAGGTATGCTGAATTAGGGCCAACACTGGTGCACCTGCAGCCTTTATATTACAATTTCCCTTTAATTTCAATCTATATGAGTGAGTACTATTTGTTGCAGAGTCTTTGTGCATTATAACTTTACTGATTATTGTAAGGCTTATGCAGATCATAGCGAAAGTGCTTGAAGGTCTTTCAATTGAATCAGCTTTGGATTTGCAAAAAGTGTTAAGAGTTAATACCTACACATCCCAAGCAAGTGCATTTCAGAAGCTTGAAGCGATGATTCCAGTTTTCCGAAGTCGGATGGGTGCAATGCTATTCCTTATCTCAGCTTTACTTTCTCGAGGACTGGTATGCTTCTTAGCGTGATAGCTTGCTTAACTATATCAGGACCTGTTTTCTTGTTGAGCGCATGTATGGGTGTATTGTGTGTAAAATTTGTTGAGCTTAGAGGAATTTTTTGGTTAGGTATTAGGCTCAATTAAGAAGTGGGGTGGCTGTCTTCTGTGCTTTAACATTATATATCACATTAGGGATTGGCCTCCATGAGCATGGTTACTCAAATGCAAAAATTGGATGGTTTGGCTTATAGGGCCGCTAGCTCTTTACTAATATAATATAAAGGGGACTGAAAAACCTAATAGGCTGCTACTCTAGGCTTCTTGAAAGCCGTTGATACTCAGATGAAATGGTACATTGGTTCGACCAGTCACAATTTTTTCTTGCATTTTAACCTTGCGCATCCCATGACTTATTCTTTAAAAGTACTGCATTGGTAGGATTCTGTTCAAGCTGACAGGGATGATCCCAGCCTACCTCTAGTCACTGCTCCCTTTGGGCATGCCTCTCAGGTATATAACCACAGATTGGCAACGAAATTGTTTGTCTGGTTTGGCGCTTATATAATAGATCCAGTTGTTCTCCCTTAATATATTGATTATGAACCTACTACTGAATTCTCTTAACAGGAAATTGTGAACTTACTGCTCTGCGGTCAGGCAGTCCCCAATGTGTTTGATGGAAGGATGGATTTAGGTGGTGGTTTGTCAATAAAGGGCATATCCAGAACTGTGGAAGTTGGTTTCCTCACTCTTCTGGAATCCCTAAATTTCTGTAAAGTTGGTCAATATCTAAAATGCCCGAAATGGCCAATATGGGTTATTGGGAGCGAGTCCCATTATACAGTCCTATTTGCTCTTGATACTTCTGTTCAAGACGAGAATGAACTGGAACAAAGGGAATCACAAATTCGGAAAGCTTTTGATGCACAGGATCAAAGTGGAGGTGGTGGTTTCATTAGTGTGGAAGGCTTTCATCAAGTCCTCAGGGAAACAAATGTAAGACTTCCACCGGAGAAGGTTGATCACCTTTGTAACACGGGTTTCATTGTGTGGAGTGAGTTTTGGCAGGTTATATTAGATTTGGATAAGAGTTTAGGAGGCTTGAAGGATTCAACTGGTCTTATGGGTAAGAAGGTTTTTGAGCTTTATCATTTTAATGGGATTGCAAAGTCGGATTTGAATGGTAGCCAAGTAATTTCTGGTGAGACACCGGTGCAAAGACCTAGACTGACCAAATTAAGGGTCTCGGTTCCTCCAAGGTGGACTCCCGAGGAATACATGGCGGACGTGGCAGTGTCCTCTAGTTCCGGTGGAAATGAATCCAGAGGGAAGGAAAATGAAGCCATTAAACCCGAGCCTCCTCAGCATGCTCCACTGGTGGACTGCGTGAGGACACGCTGGCCCCGTGCTGTTTGCAACTGGGTAGGAGACCCACCTAGCATAGTCTGAAAGATTTTCACTTTTCTCGGGGATGGTTGTGGTGCTCTTGTTTTAGGAAGCACAGGGAGCGCTTATATTTGAAGCAAACGCAGATGAAGCACCAAAACAGACGGGTTTGTGTGGTTTCGGGGTCGGTCAGACCCTCGGGGCACGTAAGAGGGGGGGTTCATTTCAGAGTTTTCATTAATCTAAAAGTATGTGCTAGCACCGAACCATTTGCTTCTATGCATTGTTGCTCCATTCAATTCGATTTTGATATGTATTAACTATTTAAGGTGAGAATACTGTAATATTATTGTCAATTGAAAGTGTAAAATCAGTTAATATATCATCTGTTGTTGTTTAGGGAAATTTTCAGTTACTTTGAGAAAGTCTAATAAAACGAGTCTGTGTTTCCATTGAATTTCTTGTAGTTGTAGAATTTTGCTTGTACCGTTGAATAGTGAAGTCTTTTTAGGTCTTTGATATGATTGGTATTACATCCTTTGATCCTTCACCACCATAAAGTGGTCACCGTTGTTTTATCATCACGATTACAGTCGGCAGTCAAAAGAATTCTATTAAATTGATCGAATACATTTTTATTTCCTCCGTTTTTTATTTGTTTTTACTTTTTTTAACAGTTGCCTCTGCACGTGTTTTGTTTTGTTTTAATTATTATTATTTTATTTATTTAAAAAAAAAACCTCATTCCATCTTTGTTTGGTTCTCACTAAAAACAATAAAAAATCAGTAAAGCCATTCTGATTGGTTTGATTAACTTGCTGTGAGATCAATAGTAAGTTTTATTCTTTTAAACGTTTCTTTAAACCAAAAAGGTTCTTTTCTTTCCCCTTTTTTTTTTTTCCCCTTTTTGGCGGAAAAGAAAAATGTTCATCTGGAAGAACAAAGTCGTGCTTCAAGAACAACTCTCTCTTCCCCTACGATGGCGGCGTGATCTCCTTTGTGCTGTGATACTCTTCTCCACCGTTGTGTTATGCCCTCTGAAGTGAACTTCTCATTTGGAATCATGACAAGGGTTGTGAAATCGCAACCTTTCTGTTAACGAGCTTCCTGATTTCGCGAACTTCTCCATTGACAAAGGGTGGTGAAAATTGCGACGGAGACGATAGAGTGACCTGTGGGTGGGTCACGACTATTGCGAACAACACGGGTTAGGGTTGAGAAAAAAAAGAGGTTCGGGTCAGAATTGGGTCGACCTGAAATTAACATGAAAAACACGGGTCAATTTCGGGTTGGACCCGCATAACCCGAACACGATACGAAACTTGTAAAAAACTAAAAAATACATATATTTTTCATTTCATATTTTAAATTTTATTATGAACTTGTGATATCATGATAGTCATACTCAAAATCTTATAGTATTATTTGTTTAATTTCAATGGATGTTATTATAATTTAATATGTTATGAATTTTAAGTTATTTCTAATATGTAAAAAACTAAATAAAAGTATACAATTTTCGTATCAATTTTGGATTCATGGGTCAATTTCATGCCACGGGTCATTTTCAGGTCGTGTTGTGTCAACTCGTAAAGTGGTCGTGTCGTGTTCGTGTTGCGATTTTTAAAAAATTTCATGTCACGAATCGTGTTCGGGTTGACTGTAAATTTAAAAAGAAACGATCAAAACACGATACGCATGAATTGCCACCCCTACGAACAACCACCCTCGCAACCCCACTCGTCGAGATCTGAATCTTTTCAGACCTTGGGTTGTCACAACATCTCTACGCCGGAGGAGGTAGAGGAGATATGGGCTCCGTTTGGTAATGCTTTTAGGAAGCCAAAAGTACTTTTTTTTTCAGCTGAAGCTCAAAAATATGTTTGGTAAACATATAAAAATAGATTCTTAAAGAATCTAGAAGCTATTTTCCATCTGAAATCAGAAGCAGCTCACTTGCTGCTTCTGATTTCAGATTGTGCGGGAATCTGAAGGAATACATTAATGAAATTTTGGTTATTCCCAAAATAACCCATCTCTCCCTCGTCCTCGTGCACACATCTCCTCAGCCCCTCCCTGAAACTCTCAGCCTCTCAACCTTCGCTCGTGCTCTCTCGCCTCAGCCTCTCAGCCTCCTCTCGTGCTCTCTCGCCTCACCCTCCCTCAGCATCTGGGCATAGGCTCCGTTAGTATGAATGCCATTGAAGAAACAGGGAGAACGGAAAAGAAATGGTCAAGATTATTTCTTTTTGTCTTGCAATATGCGTAAGTAGAAGGCTGTTATTTGCTCTTGTTATTTTGTTTAACAGTTTTCTCGCTAAACCCAAATCTGGGTTTTGTGTGCTCCGTTTGCTGGTTTGGCAATTGGTTTTTTTTTTTTCTTTAGGCCTTTTGTAAATCTTGCTTGTTTCTTTTGTTACTGTGAAAAGGGTTTATGATATTGAAAGAAATTTATGCCGGACGACTTGTATGAGGATTGTCAACTATGTGCCTGTGTTGCTATCGTTACTTTTTAATTCATTTTTTTTAGTTGAATCATTGATGTTTGGTTTATTTCTTTCTTTTATCTTAAATTTAGGAATAGTTAAGAATTAGACTGAGAAGTGGCTGCCCAAAGTGTCAAAGAATGGTCAGGGATTAATTCATTTGCACTTGCCACTCAGACCAAGTTGCTCGAATTGCTGGGAAAACTCAAGCAGGAGGTTGAACTTTTATTTATTTATTTTTTCCCTTTAGTCATAATTTTATAATCTTGAATTCTTTTTTTCTTTGGACAAAAAATAGTTTTTTTTTTAATATGATTTTTGCTCACTAACATTAGTCCTTTTTAGGTTGTTGTCCTTTTCTCTTTGCTTGGTTGATTACTGTTTTAGTTTCGTTTGAAGGTTTTGAGTATTGCTTTCTATCATTTTTTTCACAAAGCCAGTGTGTTGCATTTTGCAGAGTTGATAACTTGGACAAGGAGGTTGTGAGAGCCATTACCAACAGTTTTGGCTAACGAATCTGGAATCGAGCTTTAGTTATCCTTACATATTGAAGTTACTGTTCTTTTCTTCTTCTTCTTCTTTTTTTTAATAGTTCAACAATTATAACATAATATTGTGTTTTTGAGCTTTCAATCCAAGGGGTTTTGGTCAACGCATTTTGTGAAGCTTTTGTTTATCCTTTTCAAGTTATTGACAAGATTGGCTATTCTTTGGAAATAAGTTCTTCCGAGTGGAATTGCTTGGATTTCTTATTTAGTTGAAAAAATCACGGAAGTGGCGTTGAATGGAAGCAAGTCTATTTTTGTTGATACGAAGTTAATTGAATGGCCAAACCCTAATGAGAGGGGGAAGACCTTCATTCCTTTGATTTTATTAATCCAAGAAAGCCCGTGGAAATTTTCTTTTCGCTTTTTCTTGGGGAAGAAAGATCTTAAATTTTGTTTCTCTTTCTTGATTCAATGAATTGCTTTCAATTTGCCTTGTTTTTTGTAGTTCTTCTTTGCCATTAAACCAATTGAGCGGGCAATCAAGACGGATATTGCAAGGGAAAGCAGACCTGCATGGGAGATGCGGGATGCAAGCTTGGCCAGCCGCAAGTTCTGATTTGGCTTAGTATTTAGTTGTATTATGGATGTATGCCTTGATGCAGTTTTTCCTCTGTTCATGTTTTATCTACCAGTTGCAAGTAGTTGTTCCAATATTTTGCAGTAGCGACAATCTGCGGCAGTGGATTGTTTTAGCGTTTGGAGAGAACTGGATTTGTTGTTTGGCTTATGTTCTTCTGTTGGATCATCGATTTTGCTAATAATATAGTAGGTATTTCTTCTGTTCAAGATTTGTTTGTTTGATTTTGCTTTGAGAGTAGGGTAGAGTATGACAAGTCAACATGTGTCAAGGGTGAGAGCTGATAGTGAAGCTTATTTTTTCTCGAAGGAGTTCTTGCTCAAATTTCAAATGCTATTTTGGAAAATAGCGTCCTCATATTTGTTAAGAGTAAACGACATCTTTTAGAACAGAGTAATTTTGCTGTTGAGATGAGGAGAGAATATTTTATCGCCAAATTGGATAAAATTGCTCGTCTGTTGGCTGTTGATAGTAAGTTACTTGAAAAGTAAATACATTCTTACAGATTAGGCTTAAGACTCAAATCTTTTTTGTGTAGTATTCCTACAAATTATAATTACTTCTGTGGCTACTTTTTTGTAGCATTATACAAATGTAGATTTTGAAGTAGTAAAAGATATAGGTCGGGTGATTGCAACCATATGGTATTTGGTTGTGTTAATAAGATTGACAATTTATCATTATGCTATTTTTAGCTGTAATTATATTGTGAATGAAGGAATGAAAAAAAGAAAATTAATTATCATAAATTAATTATTAAAAAATTTAAAATCATAACATTATGGTTTTTTTTTTAAAGTTAAACAAGTATTTTTAAATACCAAAAACAATTATATATATTTAAATTTCATAACATATCTATTTTGGTCATTTTACATACTCACAGTAATTCCACATCAAAATTTACCAAACGCTATTTACTGATTTTAGAATCAGCACAGCTACTATAATTACAATTTACCAAACACTTAGCTACTTTTTGAAACAACTACTTTTTCTTTCAGCATAGCTAAAAACACTTTTTTTTAAAATCCACAGCATTACCAAACTAAGCCATGATCTCCTCTTTTTTATTTTTTCATTTAACTTCTAAATTTTTTTTTGGGTTTTAATGAATTGCATTTCTACTTTTATGTGATAATATCGATGGATAAAAGTTGCTTGCATTATTGTAGCGTTTTCCTCCTCTCTCATCACAAGCAATGATGGACCAGACCCTTTTTACCCCCTAAACCTAGACCATTCTCACACAAATGTCTACCATTTCTAAAATTTGGTTAGTTTTTTTTTAGTTTTTATAATATTTTATTTTTTTTATTGGAAAAAAAGACAAATATTATTTGAAAGTGTATGAATGAGAATTTTTATTATTTATTATTGATTAATAACTTTTTAACTAAATAATTATACTAGTAAAATGATATTAATAAAGAATAAATGATAAAAATTTATATTTATATATTTTAAAAGATAAATTCAATAATTTTCTCTCTATTAAGGATTATCTCATTTCAATGGTTAAAAATTTAGGTTTCGTTCAGTTTGCGGATTCGAGTTTTTAATTCAAGTTAAGATATAATTTTATATGAGAACTTTTCACTGTAATAAAAAAATTAAATGTGATTTTTTATGAGAATTTTTAATTATAATAAAATTAGAATTAAAAACTAAAATTAATAAAACGAGATCTTAAACAACTTTTACTTATTAAAAACACCCTAAACTTCAACCAAAAAAAATAATAATTAAAAAAAACACCCTAAACAAAGTTTTCCCCACAACAGCGACTCCCCATCTAGTCTCCGATGAGCACCGCCCACGCAGTGCCTTCCCACCCCGCCTTTGGGCGATTCCAGAGACCTGTTGCTATCCACCTTCACTAACTCAATCTCAACCGTAGGATCACCATCATACGTGGGAGGAGGTTCTGACAAGGTACAATCTCATTCTCCAGAGACCATCCTTTGCACTAAATAACATGCTTTGATATCTCTGCTTCTATATTGATAGTCTCTTCTAGGTGATCCGCAAAAGGTTTCGTTATTTTTTATTTCTGCTTTACTTGGGCTTTTTTTTTTTTTTTTTTAATTTTGTTTTTAGTAGAATTAACAGAGAAGTTCTTTTGAGAAATACTTGGCCATTGATTGTAATTGTTCAGCCTTTGTCGTTTAAACAATATATATATATATATATATGTATGCTCATGCCATATATTTTCGTCGTTCACCTTGTGTTTGTTAAAATGCCCAGTTGAAATTAATTTCTTTATCGTCTTAGTTGTTGGTCTGTGTTTTTTCACATTCACCATTTTTGTAGTTTCTAAAGATTTTAATTTTAACGTACTATGTTGTTCCACAGGGCTTTGGTTCATTGTGTGGTTCGAGGGTTCTGTTGTTATACATTGAAGATATATAAATACCAAAATGTATACAAAAAATCTAAGCTATAGGAATCCAAAAGTCAACGTTTTACCATCCATTCAATACCTTTGTAGAAGCTTTTCTCTTTGGTCGATGAAGAAGGACCCGGATCTCGAATCGGCTCTCTCTAGAAACCGCAGATGGATTGCCAATAACCAGCTAAAGAACATAATCCTTCGCTACCCGAACGGGGTAATACCAGTAAAATACCTTCAGAAAAAGTTCAAGACTCTTGATCTCCAAGGAAAAGCTCTCAATTGGCTCAAAAAATACCCTTGTTGTTTTGAGGTCTTTCTCCACCACGACGACGAGTACTACTGTCGGCTTACGAAAAGGATGATGGCTTTGGTGGAGGAGGAAGAAACCGTGAAGGATATGCAGGAGCCGGCGCTGGTACAAAGACTGGCAAAGCTACTGATGATGAGCTTGAATCACAGACTGAATGTCGTAAAACTCAATGAGCTGAAGCGAAATTTTGGTTTCCCTGATGATTACCTGATTAGGATTGTGCCGAAGCATTCCAACTTGTTTCGTGTTGTCAACTATAGTGGGAGGCGGAGTTCAATGGAGATCGAGCTGATGTCGTGGAATTCTGACTTGGCGGTTTCATCAGTTGAGGCCACAGCTCGGGAGCAGGGGGTTGAGCCATGTTTCTCGAGTTCGTTGCCCTCCACTTGGGTGAAGTCACAGGAAAGATCTCGTGAATTCAATTCGAGTCCTTACATTTCGCCTTACTCGGACCCTAAAGTGCTGGTGGAGGGATCTAAGGAGACGGAGAAGAGGACAGTTGCGTTAGTGCACGAGCTATTGTCGTTGACTCTTTGGAAGAAAGCATCAATTTTGAAGCTAGGACATTTCAGGAGAGAGTTTTCGCTGCCGGAGAAATTGAACATTTTGTTGCTCAAACACCCTGGGATATTCTACGTTTCGAATCGATATCAGATCTATACCGTTCTTCTTAGAGAGAGCTACAAAGGGTCAGAGCTGATCAATAAAGATCCTCTTGTGGTGGTGAAGGAGAAGTTTGGGGAATTGATGCAGGAGGGGCTTCACGAGTATAATAGAAGGCATCAATTGGAGAATTTGGAGAAGAAGAGAAAGAAAGGCATTGTTTTGGGTAGATTGGATAAAGTCAAAGATCAGAACTCAGAAAGTTCTGATCCTGATGATCAGGAAGGAGACAAGCTAGGAGGTTTTTTTGATCCTGAAGAAAGAAAACGATTCTATAAAGTTCTCTTTGAAGACGATGCGCCATAAGATGTAGTTGTGGCTTGTATTCTCAATCGTACTTTGTATATATGATTTGTTCATCACCAAGTTTCATTAATCTTTATCCTCCTTGTACGTCAGGAGCTTGGAGCACATTCAAATACATCTTTTTCCCCCCAAGGATTTTGTTTTGCTTTAAAAGCAGAGCAATTTTTTTTTTTTTTTTCCTTCACCTGATCTTGTGAATTTTCCAAATATCCGAAATGTCAATTATAATTGACAAGAACCTATAATATTAAATTTATTGTAACCGTCATATTAATATTATATGATTAAGACAATAATAAATATAAGAGTAACCTAAAACTATACTTTTTCCATTAAAAAAAAAACAAAACAAAACCACACCTTTTCCAACTAATTTTATTACAAGTTTAATTGAGTAGAAAAAAAAGTAAACCTGATATAAATGTGTGATTGGTTCCAAATGGTGATTAGTGGCCTACGTGGCACGCCATGTATTGTTATTTGTTAACCCCCTCAAAAAATAATAATAATAAATAAATAAAGGAAGGAGGGGAGTGTCAGTACGACGTCGTAGCGGGAGGGGCGGTGAATGATGGTGGGAAATTGCAAATTGGGAATTCATTCTTTTCTTTATAATCAAAAACAGGAGAAATTGCCATTGGTAGAGAGCGCAGAGGAAGGAAAAAAGACGGAGAGTTGGAAAGAGAGCAATTATGGCAACGACGACGTCGTTTCAGGGTTACCCTCAACCCCAACCCCAACCCCAACCCCAACAACAACATCATCATCATCATCAGCCGACGACGGTTGAAGAGGTGAGAACCCTCTGGATTGGCGATTTGCAGTTTTGGGTCGACGAGAACTACCTCAATTCCTGCTTCTCTCACACCGGCGAGGTTCTTTTGCTCTCTCTCTCTCTCTCTCTGTGTTTTTTTTTTTTTTTTTTGGAATTTTATGATCACAATAAAATAGAGCCTATTTATGCTGTCAAGTAATTTATCATCTTGGTAGTGCACACTTGAACTCACTTAGGGCTTATTCGGTTATATTTTTGAGTTATAGTGACTTTAAGTGTATATCTTAATTTAAATTTGAATTGAAGTTGTAATTTTTAAACGTGTATATTAGAGTTATGGTTTAAATTGAGAATCTATTTGAATTTGAATTTGAGTAAGTCAAAACTTGAATTTGTATTTAAATAGTATTTTAATAAAAATTTAACGGCGATGAAAAATTTTAATAGGTTATATGGATGGGGTTTTATTCGTCTCTTTATTGTGAACCCATAGAAAAAAAATCATCTCAATCGGAATTAAAACGAAAAAGTTATAGTATTTTTAAGAAGAGAAAAAATATTGTTTATTAATTTAAATTTTAGTTTAAGAACTTGAGTTGAAGGGAACTTGAATTCAGATTTCAACCTCAAATTCAAGTTTAAACTCGAGTTCAAACTCAAGTTTAAACTCAAATTTTACAAAAGAACATGAACTTAAATAAAGTTGTAACTTGAGTTCAAACTTTTTTTGAGTTATAATCCAAAAGAACAAGCCTTAGACCTCATTTGTTTCACTCGTTCGAGTTGACTTGAATTCATGTAACAAACAACACTGAAAAAAATTGAATTCAAATTAGTTAGCTAAGGAGTTGAATGTTCGTTCTTTATGTTTATGTAGGTAGTTTCAATAAAGATTATACGAAACAAAATCACTGGTCAGCCTGAGGGTTATGGGTTTGTGGAGTTTGTTTCTCATGCGGCGGCGGAAAGGATTTTGCAGAGTTATAATGGGACTAAGATGCCTGGAACTGAACAAACTTTCCGGCTAAACTGGGCTTCTTTCGGTATTGGGGAAAGGCGTCCTGATGCTGCCGGAGTTGAGCACTCCATTTTTGTTGGGGACTTAGCCCCAGATGTTACGGATTATCTCTTGCAAGAGACCTTTCGAGTTCAGTATCCGTCTGTTAGAGGTGCCAAGGTCGTGACTGATCCAAACACTGGACGTTCCAAAGGATATGGGTTTGTTAAGTTTTCTGATGAGTCGGAAAGGAACCGCGCTATGACTGAAATGAATGGCGTCTATTGTTCAACTAGGCCGATGCGGATTAGCGCAGCAACACCAAAGAAGACCACTGGTTTTCAACAGCAGTACGCCGCTGCTAAAGGTAATTTTCAATTGAAAATTGATTTCGTAAGTAATGGTGTTTTTCTACGCTGCATTATGAATGCTTTTCTTGCTCACTTGGTTTTCCGATTCATACAACAATGTCAACCTGATTCTAATAAAATTACCTATTTTATTTCTTTTTGGTAGCGGTATATCCATATCCGGCGTACACTACACCCGCTGTTCCTGCAGTTCCAGCTGATTATGATACAAACAATACTACTGTGAGTTGGACTAGATATTGTAATTTTTTATTGGGTTTCATCATAATCTCTTAGTCATGTCCGCTTTTGTCCATTACAGATTTTTGTCGGCAACTTGGATCCAAATGTCTCAGAGGAGGAGCTGAAGCAAACATTTTTGCACTTTGGGGAGATTGTATATGTCAAGATTCCCATGGGCAAGGGGTGTGGTTTTATACAGTTTGGGGCGAGGTCTGTTTTAGCTTGCGAAACATTTTGCATGATTTCTCACAATGATAGAAACCAGAAATAAAAACTCTGAGCATGTGTTATTTTTCTTTATTCCTTTGTTTTTGTTTCTGTTTCCTTTTGTTCATAATGTTTTCTACAGCTAAGCAATGGCTGCTCTTCTCCCCTTTCTCTTGCTATCATAGTCCTCATTTTTCTCAGACGTAATAAAGCTGCATGAGTATGGAGGATGGATGGAGGCAACAAAAGTGGCATGCTGAAAGTTCTATAACTTGTTTCACTTTATGTTGTAACCTTAGATATTTGTCAATCATTTTCTTCTTTTTTCTTCCTTCATATCAGTTCTCCAAATTTTCTTGCCTCGTTTTTCTTTGTAGGACATCTGCCGAAGAAGCCATTCAGAAAATGCAGGGAAAGATGATTGGTCAACAAATAGTACGGGTTTCTTGGGGAAGGAGCCCAACGGCTAAACAGGTAATTGCTTGCTTAAATCGCTTATCTCATTGTATGCTCATTTTTATTGGACTATCAGAATATTTCCTTTATCCATGACTTGTTGAATAGATCAACAGTTTTAAGTTTCTGAAATCAAAAGTTGATTTTGAATAGTGCCAACTGCCATGGCCCAAAGGGTACTAACTAAGACAAAAAGATTGATGATTTTAAACTCACATATATAAATATATAACATAGATCTCTCATTAATAATCAAGAATTATGTACAAGAGATTACAAAAGGGCAGAGGAAAGAGATTTCCCTCAAAGTATTAACAAAAACTATAGAAAAGAATCCTAGTCTCTGAGAAATCAGAGAAATGCCATTCAGAAGATGAAAACTGGCATTCAAAAACTATTCATATGATTTCAAACTTATATTGATAGCTTCAAAAATGATTAATTTCATCTGCATGACCTGCAATGTCGACCTTTAGGCCGCGTTTACTTCACATGAAAGGGAAAGAATGAATGCCAAATTACTTACTTATCCCTTATAAGTTCACATGTTATAAGCCAATGATTGTTGAATGATGTAAAAAGATATTTTAGTGTTACATTGATAAGATTCCTATTCTAGTAGACATTAGAGACGTAATTTGATTGTTTCCTACTATACCATCTAATAGATAAGTAAACACTAGAAAGAAAATCAATTTCTTATTTCTTACTCTTTTACTATCTAATCTTATTATCTTTACGTTACCTTCATTTACAGGTTGGTAAATGTGCCTTAGAATAGATAAGTGAAGTGTCTCTATTTTGACAGTATTATATTACCCTCTTAATGAACTGTTATGCTCGATAAGTTATAGGCACCAGAGATGTATGTGCATGTACATTATATACAATTTAACAAAATTTGGTCTTGAATACTGACTTTTTGCAGGACGCATCGGGGAGCTGGGGTCAGCAAGTAGATCCAAGTCAGTGGAGCGCATACTATGGTTATGGACAAGGCTATGATGCTTATGCTTATGGGGCTACTCATGATCCATCCTTGTATGCGTATAGCGCATATGCTGGTTATTCTCAGTACCCTCAACAGGCAAGTTTTACCATCAATTAATCTGTGTCGTAAGGGCTACTTTGAAAATCTTAACTTGCGCAAAAGCCGTGGTTTCTAGACATTGCTAACCAGATTCCATGATTCATAAATTATCCATACGCGCGGTTTCAGTCTGTAACTTCTAATCTTATTGGTGTTAGAGAAATTGAGGAATGTGGTAAAGCAAGTAATTTTCCATTGCGCTTATTCTGCATCGGTACGTTTGGTCTCAGGTTGAAGGTGTTCAAGACATAGCAGCCACTGTCCCAGCTGTAGAACAAAGGGAAGAGTTGGATGATCCGTTGGCTACACCTGATGTTGATAAGTACGTAACTTCACACAATCCTATTTCTTACACCTTTTTTTTCCCTCATTTTGCCCGGGGTCTATGACTATGAAAGACTAAATAGGGTTTCAGTTTGTAACTTCTAATCTTATTGGTGTTAGAGAAATTGAGGAATGTGGTAAAGCAAGTAATTTTCCATTGCGCTTATTCTGCATCGTACGTTTGGTCTCAGGTTGAAGGTGTTCAAGACATAGCAGCCACTGTCCCAGCTGTAGAACAAAGGGAAGAGTTGGATGATCCGTTGGCTACACCTGATGTTGATAAGTACGTAACTTCACACAATCCTATTTCTTACACCTTTTTTTTCCCTCATTTTGCCCGGGGTCTATGACTATGAAAGACTAAATAGAGGAAAAAAAAATAAAAAATAAAAACTTTATGCATGACTGTTATTTCTAACTTGTAATGGTTTGTTGCTAGGTTAAACGCTGCTTACCTGGCCGTTCATGGAAGTGGCATTTTAGGCCGTTCGTTATGGATGAGAACATCGTCATTTTCGCTGCAAGCTTAGACGTTCTTTCGAGATGATACAGTTGAAGAGAATCGAGTCTTGGGGGAAAGATTATAGCAGCGAACTGCAATTTGGCCATTGGCAAGGGTTTGTTGCTTTGGAGTTTTGGTCACTTTTTAGAACCGTAACATGTACCTTGCATTGCTACATGGTAGCAGATATATATATATATATATATTATTGTTGACACAGTAGTTATTGTTCAATGGCCTTGTTTAAGGTTTATCTACTCTTTTTTTTGTGAGTTAATCTCACAAATAGTTTGTGAGATTTAGCCTCAACCTCAATCCCACTTTAGTCTCTAATTTTTTAAATGTCACATAGTTAGTCTCTGAAATTTTATTTTGTTTCAGTTTCGGTCTTTCTATTTATTTGGTTTTAAATATTTGATAGAATTTGTAGAAATTATAAACTAAAATTAGAAACATCGGGCAGCATCTGTTACCTTTTGACCTGCAGATGAGCATTAACTTAAATTTAAGGGCATGTTTGTTTGCTCATTTGAGTTGAGAATTTTAATTAAAAAATAAATTTATGTGACAAAAAAATTAAATTTAAAATTTTATAAAAAAAAATACTGAAATAAAAATTTAAATTGTTATCTACTTTTTTTTTTTGTGAGTTAATCTCACAAATAGTTTGTGAGATTTAGCCTCAACCTCAATCCCACTTTAGTCTCTGATTTTTTAAATGTCACATAGTTAGTCTCTGAAATTTTATTTTGTTTCAGTTTCGGTCTTTTTATTTATTTGGTTTTAAATATTTGATAGAATTTGTAGAAATTATAAACTAAAATTAGAAACATCGGGCAGCATTTGTTACCTTTTGACCTGCAGATGAGCATTAACTTAAATTTAAGGGCATGTTTGTTTGCTCATTTGAGTTGGGAATTTTAATTAAAAAATAAATTTATGTGACAAAAAAATTAAATTTAAAATTTTATAAAAAAAAATACTGAAATAAAAATTTAAATTGTGATTCCAACTACTAAAAATGAAGGAGCCGGAGGGCCTAGTAGCTAGTACATTAATCCAAAGTCAGCTCTTTCGAGTGGGCTTAAAAAGAGCCTAAAAAGGCCGTATATAAGTGGGAGGTATGGTGGGTGGGCCTTTTTGTTAGTTGAGCCCTTAAGAAATCCCCTCAACAGAAACTCAGGAAGACGCGAAACACGTCTAGTATTCTGTTGAAGCTCGCTGTCGCTGCGTTCCTCACAAGCGCTCCTCTTCTCTCTCGCACTAAAATTCTGCTCAATCCAATTCCAACTTCTCTCTCCCTTTTGCCATCCTCTCTCTCTCTCTCTCTCTCCTGTTTGCCAGGTAAGTTTCTCTTTCTCTCTCTAGAATGTTGACAGCATTTACTTCGCGCCACACACCCCGCCTCGCCACACTCGGAACGAAAACATTCATAATAGTTTCGAGAATTAGGGTTTTGTCTGATGCGATTAGATTCCTATCGTAATCGGAGAGAAATCCAGCGGTTTTCGTTCTCTCCCCCCCCCCCCGC